CCCTACCCCCCCGTTTGCAAACCCCCCCCCCCCCCTGCTTTAGCTTCTTCGCGCCGCCTCTGGGTTTTATATTTCTTCTTTGGCTTTTCTTTCTATATTTTATCGGCTCATAGAGTAGATTGAAATAGTGTTTTCATTTCTTAAGAAATGAATACATTATTTCAATCTACTCTATTGACTCTTTGAGCCAATAAAATATAAAGAAAAAAAGTCGAAAATTTGACCTTTTTCCGAGTCTTTTGACATCCTTCGAGTTTCTTCGATTTTTCATGTCGAAAAATCGAAGCACACATACTCGTGATCAGCGTTAAACGCTCTTTCGAATGGTGTATAAAAAGTTCGAAAAAAATTGTGCTAAAATATTCACATCAATACACTCTTTAAATAGTCTCACTTCTTAATAAATTTTCTTATGCATTCATATCGAACGTTAAACAGGTAAGGTACCGTAAAGCCGGTACAATGATTACCCGTAAGGTACGATAAATCAGTAAATTACCATTTACCGTTTCATGCCTACTCTCTACAAAAGAAGGATTGAAACAAAACCTAAAAGGGTACAGAGAAGTGCAATCATTTCTAAACCCGTGTAGGTTTCATAGAACAAAAGATACGGTACCAAACCGTTTAAGTGCATAAATTCTATCAGTTTTTTTTCTGAGCAAGTGGACCATTTGTGCAGCTTAGGAGTGTTTTCATAGTATAGGGCGGCGAAAATTGAGCCAAAAAAATAATTTTTTTTAATTTTTGATTTTTCGCAAGAAAATCATGAGGAATAAACATAACAAAATAAGCAAATGCATTAATAAGTCGTTTCAATGCACTTAAAATAGTTTCGTACCGTACCGTACCGTACCTTTTCTCTAGAAAGCCTAAAAAGGTTTAGAAATGGTTGCACTTCTCTATACGCTTTTAGGTTTCGTAACGACGCCTTTTTTTAGAGAGTAGTGGAAACGTACGAAAGGAAAAAAAGTATCATATTTCATTCCTAAGAGAAAGAAGAAAATAACAGAAAATGTGCTTACCCACGGTGAATGTTTTATTACACACACATTTTAGTAGAGAAGACCGAATGTCATCAGAAGAAAAGTTGTTTGTATGTTGACTTAGTACCAGAGTTGAATATGAACTCGTGACTATCAGCGGAAATTCACACTTACTCGAAGTTGTTTTTTCGTGTCTTAAACCTGAAAACTGCACTCAAATTACACCAATGACTGTGTATTCTTTAAACATTACTCTGCACCTCTTACTCGACTTTTTACAAGTTTTAGGTTTTAGATTATGGCTTCTCTTTTTTTTGCGACCCCTAAAATTATAGAGTGGCATCTTTCTCGAAAAGTGTGAGTTCTTAGGTGTTGTTTACGTTGAACTGCTGTTGCGTTCCTATAGCATAGACAATGCTTTTCTATAAAATACGTTTGACAGTACCCTAGGCGGAGATTGCAAGTGGCGTGACATAAACAGGCCTTGAAGTCAACTTTTGTTAATCGTTGGTATGTATTCTGTTATAAGTGTAATTTAGGGGCCCTCATCTGATGCTCAAACTGCTGACTCGTAGTCTTGCTCTTTTCTCACTTAAGCTATGGAAAGGAACAACTCCGTCTTGCTTTTCTTGTTTAGAGTAAATCAATTTTGTTTTTGTTGCTCGACTGTTTTTAGATATTTTTTTGCATAATGAATAATTCTAAGAGAAAACAGCGTAGACAAACCCCTACACCAACGGCCAAACGAACACCAAAAAAACCACGTGGAAAAACACAACGACAACAACGAATATTTTTATCAAATTCAGATGACGAAGGAGAAACAAATGTACCACCTATTCAAACGATAACTCCAGTAGCATCAACGTCGGTACAAACTCCATCCTTATCAGCACAAACTGATTCACAACTTACAGATAATGAAGCACTACCACAACAATATCTAACTTCCAATGTATGGCAACATGCAAAACGTAATCCAGCCGGAACAGAGGTTACATGTAATCTATGTGGAAAAGTTTTAAAAACACCTTGTGGATCAACAACAGCGGTTAGATCTCATCTTGTTAAACAGCATAAATTGGTACAATTGATATTACCATCAAAACAAAGACAAAATTCTGGTACATTACCCGTAGACCAAAAACGAAAACTACATCAGTTGTGTATTGAAGCTATTATTGAAGACAGTAGACCATTTGGTGACTTAGCCAAACCAGGAATTTTACGTTTAATTCAATATTTTGTACCAGGTACTATATGATGCATGTTCTACTGCGGATTGTTACTAAGGTGCGCGTAATTCAAAAATCGAGCAAAAAATTTTATTTGGGGTTAGATGGAATTTGTTAGGCTCTACAAAACCGTATATATGAAAAAAATTTCAAACGCTCTTTTTGTGATAAATATTGAAAAACTCGAATTTTTGAGTACTGAGCAAATACTTAATTATCAAAGAGTTTCACAAGCTCGAAAGACTTTTTTTCTAATACAGCGTGTAAAACTGAATATAGCAACATGAATTTGCAAATGATGTGAGACGGTTCAGATATGCTACGATCTAAGACTTTTGGGCCTGGGCGACCGTTTGAAGCAATCGACTAGAGGGTGTGGCAAAAGCTTCAAGTCTCGCTAGCTTGGATATTTAGCCGATATTTTTACTTCATTTTATTCATTATAAGACTAGGGAAAAACTTCGAAAAAAACGATATGTAACTTTTTGCCACACCCTCTAGTCGATTGCTTCAAACGTTCGCCCAGGCCCAATGTGAGGTTCTACTCACTCACTTCTCATCTTTATTTAAGAAAGTGAACGGCTATATATAGTACACAAGTTGAACAACAGTTATGCAAGAGTTGCGCATGAGTTACATACGAACAGAAATAGTTTAGG